TTTTTTTTTCTTCTCCTCCCTCCAAAGATTACGCTGTATTTACTGTGGTTTCTAATCAGACAAGTGCTCAAGAAATGTGATGGATTTGACAGCTAAGTGTGTTTCTTAGTGAATTAGTTTTGTGAAGGACCTAAGGTGAGAGATGAGGTTATTCTTTCATGCAGTTTGGAAAATTCATTAACTTAAAATAGGAGTTAAATATTCTGCCCTGCCCCCATACTTTGCTTCTACATTTTTATTATATTTTAATATTATATGTATAATATTTTGCATAATCGAATATTATTGTTTCACTGGTACAATGACATACATGTATACAACCTAATAGCCTGTACCCAATTTTTCTGTTTAGTGCATGATACTGTGTCATAACTATTGGTGTATTTACCTAGACTTTATCTACTCCCTGCCCAGGAGAAAAGCTTATCACACAATGATGATGTGATAATTTTGTAGGAAGCATGAGTTAAAGAAAAGTTACCATTTCTGCCAAGTATATTAGATTAATATATTAGTTTCTGAAGTTAACCTGATAAGAATTTAAGTCTTTGTGTTTTTCCATCTGTTTCAAATAACCTGTTCAGAAAGTCCGCTTTTAGGATGTTGGAAGTGTTTGAAGGTACTTGAGACGAGCATTAGACTAAGATTCTGGACTCCGGGGCAGGAAAGGGGGCACAGATTGGCAATTTGAGATTGTATTCCTTTCTAGTAAAAGATTTTTTAAAAAAAAGTTCTACATTGACACTGAGAAATTGCAGTTGTGAACCAAGACCTGAGCTTGTTTGTGTAGCACAGTCCTTGCACGGAACACAGACCTTGTATATGAGGTCGAGGAGAGCAAGTAAATAAATACCGGCTAATGTGGAAATAAAAGAATTAGAGGGCAGTGTTCATTAGTGCAGCAGGGAGCAGTCACAAGTTTAATTAGGTGAAATTTTTGTGTTATATGCATCATCTCAAAGGAAAGCCTTAGCTGAAGGGGAATAGAGAGGGAGACACTCGAGGATACGTGTGAGATTCTTGGGTACCCAAGACTTCCTAAGGGAATCTTGCACTTAGTGAAAGCATTAATAGTATCTATTTGTTCACACATCTCTTTTTTTGTTTGAGGTGCTGACTTGAAAGAGATCTAATGATGATGTTATGCGTAAGTAGGCTGTGTATACCTCTTCTTGTTACATTTCTGTTTTCAGTTGGGTTTTTCGACTCAGAAGGAAATGTTGTATATATCTTGTATACGTAGATCATATAACGTTGTAAAATTATACAGAGACTATTTTACTTTGAGACAAGTTGAAGGTAATGAAGAAAGCAAGCTGCTTTTTATCCCAGAAAGTAGAGAGGTAAAATTACTCTGAGTAAAGTAGATACAAATTGCATGGTTTGTCTAATTTATTAGCTAGAAGGTCATTAGCACTTACTATCTCTTATTAAAATTATTATTACTCGAAAGATAAGAGAGTAACTAGTGACATAAGGTGCACTTTAAAGCAGGAGCTGAATCGCGGTTATTCTGAGAAAAAAGAGCCCTTTCTTGTACTCGCGTTATGTCCGCGTGGAAGCACAAAGTCAGGTGGCCAAAACGCGTTGCAGTTAGGAAATGCAAATCCCATCAGGTGTGGGGGGAGAAAAATAGTCCAGTTTTCTCTTCATCTTTCAGAATGAGGTTCAGTCAGTGTCTGTTCTACCATGGTTAGTTAATATGGAGAATAAAAGCGAACAATAAAAAGATGAAACTTGAAGCCTTTGCTGTCTAAGCATGCTGTTTGCATGTTGGCTTGATTAACCTTCCTTCTCACATGATAAAGCTGTCCAAAAATCTGTTTTGTATGTTAGGTTTGTTTGTTTTGATGAGCTGTCAGACTTGGATTTAAGTTCTCTACCATCACCACTGCTCTCTGCTACCTCAGCTCCTTCTCATTAGGACTGTCAGGCACACTCGTCCATTACAGTTTGGAGGAGTGGTGTGCAGTGACAGGTAGCTGTTATTTATGGCTGTGTTTAGTCAGGCTTCCTCACTGTAGTATGAATGTTCATTCTGCTAAAATGCAGGGAAGATGCCTGGCCAGGAGCTCTTACCTCTGCTGCAGATTGCTGAGCAATTTGCATCTTATGAATTGGAGCCCTCAGTCGTGTTCATTTAATCAGCTATTCCTGTACAGACATTGATGAAACCACCAAGTGATTTCTTTGGCAAAAGACAGTTCATGTTTTGTAACTCTGATTCTGTGCACTTTTCCCAGAGGAATAGCCTCTGCTTTTATCTTATTCCCAGAGTTCTCTTAAATGAATCGGGGTTTATGAATAAAACCAACAATATGTTTTTATCGTTCTGTTTTGAATCTTGAAAGAAGCTGTAGAGAATGTGTGTTTAATGCAAGCACAAGGACTGATCAATTATAAATCAACTCAGATGTAGTACTCTGATGTATTTTCCTTTATCAAAATTCATTCATAACTCATGTTTTGAGAGTTCATTAAGTTATTGTTAACTTTATTGTTAACTTTAAAGAATTAACTTTTAAGAAGTTAACTTTTAAGAATTGTTAACTTTAAAAGTTGAAATCCACTCTTTTCTCGTGGTGTTTTAAGATTTGCATACTTTTGTACACAGTTAAAAAGACACTACTGAATCAAAGATGTTCCTGTACTAGGTGATCTACTTCAAAGGTGCTTGTTTTGCTGTAGCAGCTTCCTATTAAGTAGGCATGATTGCAGTTGTGTGAGAAGAGTTGTACCTTGAGCCCTGGTGAGGGGGGCACCTGCTTCTGTTTCGCCTGCCGCCCACCCTGCACCACATCTCGTAGTGCCTGACCTTCTGGTAGGCAGGTTCAATTAATGCAATGGAACATAGGAACTGGTGAAATGGGGTGGATGGGTGTGTTTGAGAGGAAAGAAAGGTGCTAGCTCTTTGAGCAGAAATGGGTAGACTGGCTCAAGCATGGTGGGTAAGGTGACTTTAAATATACAGGACTTTACATCATAGAATCATAGAATGCTTAAGGTTGGAAGGGACTTCTAGAGATCATCTAGTCCAACCCCTCTGCACACGCAGGGTCAGCTAGAGCACGTGGCACAGGACTGCGTCCAAGCGGGTTTGGAAGATCTCCAGAGAAAGAGACTCCACAACCTCTCTGGGCAGCCTGTTCCAGGGCTCTGTCACCCTCACTGTTAAAAAATTTTTCCTTAAGTTCCTGTGGAACTTTTGGTGCTTCAGTTTGTGGCCATTTCCTCTAGTTCTGTCAGTGCCTTCATTTGCATGCAGGAATGATCTGTCTGAAGTCCAGTGGGAATTTTTCTGGACATTAACAGCTCCCAGTTTGGAGTTTTTTTCATTGGAGAAGGGCTTGCAATTAAAATTGTAGGTGATAATGATGCTGCTGTATGACATGAGGAGGAAAAGGAAAGAGAGGTAGAATTCTAAAATTCTAAGGTGTGCATTTTGTTTATTTATGCATTCAGCATTGGATCTGAGCTGTGCAGTTGCTGGCCCTGCTTTTGTTTTGGGAGGAAATGTCTCATACTATTACATTATTTTCAAAGGAGCATAAGGAAAAGGTTGAAGTCTTGACAGCTATGACAAAGTCTAGTGCCATAATGTGTCATCAGATAAATGCTGCTGTATGGTCTGTGGCAGTCAGCAAAGCATGGCAGCCACTATTTATGTCAACTTTAAAAGACAGGAAGTGCTACCCGAAGGGGAGAGAATATCAGAAGTTGACAGCCTGGTAGACATCTGGGGTTAAATGTCATATTTTGAATAGATTTAACTTACATATTCATTTTATTTTGTGTACTGAAACCTGAAATTCCAGTCTTCAAATACTCATTTTGTTATTTAATAGTGCTTAAAGGTCTGTGTCCAAGAGGAGCAAGGAAAAGTTTCTTGCTAGAGTGAAATATGTAAAAGGTTATGTGTGAGTTTGGGATAGCTGACTTATACTGCTTAAAAATATAAGTTTACCTTCAGCCAACAACTATAGAAGAGAGATAAGCATCTTATTTATTCTTTAACAATAAAACAATACAAACAATAACTGTTTTTAGTGATAAAGTATATTACTTGGATTCTTCTTCTACTGAATGAAATGACCTTCAGATTGCCTAGGTTTGCTGTTCCCTTGTTCTCTATAAGTCTTTGTTTCAATTTAACCTTTTAAATTAAAACCTAACCCAGCAGAGTGTTTCATGCAATTAACGTAAATAGTTCCAGTGCTCTGTGGCTGCATGGCGATTTCTTTCTTTTGAGAATCTGGTTCATTATTCTGAATATGTTATTGCTCCCAGGTTACTTTACTTGGTGTGTTTGATAGTCTCTGCAGCAGCTTTGGAGAGAGTTGTTGCTCTATTTGAATTTTGTTGTTTATTGTGAGGCAAAACGCAATGAGGCACTGTGATGAAAAATGTTACAGATTTTGCAAGTTTTTTGCTCTTCCTTTATTTGGGCAGGCTCTGTTTCTACGGACTTGTGTGTTTGTTATTTCTGGAGTAAAATCTTTCTTTTGTTTATTCACTTTTTAAATTTAAACAGATCCTTGAAGATGCAGAGGCTCAGCACTTGTTCCAGTCCATCCTTCCTGATATGGTGAAGTTGGCACTTTGTCTCCCTACTATCTGCACGCAGGTAGGTAGAGCTAGCTGAAAGCTCTGTGGCAGACTGCTTTTATGCAAAGGGTAACTAATGGTTACGGTCAAAACACCAGGGCCATGATATGTCCCTTGATAAATATTATGGTCGAGGGTTAGGTAGTCGGTATAATCGAATGCCAGGGACAGGACCCTTCACTGTCATATTTTTAGCCTGAACTTCAGTTACACCTTACTTTCCGTGTGGTAGAGGTGCTTCATGTTTTTCTTTAGTGAAACTGCTGTAGAACTTTTCAGATTTTAAATCAAATTTAGCATTTGAAATATTTCAGACATCTGAAAACATCTGATTCTTAGATCTTTTTTTTCAGTCATGGGAGTGCTATTTGCATAAAGCCTTCCTTTAGTCTGGAGCACACTTTGTTCTTGTCAGAGCCTCACAGTACTTTTGCACATGCAGCCCTTAACTAATTCTTTGCTCTTATCATAGGAATCGGCCCTGTAGATACTAAAGCTGATAAAAGGTCTATTGCTGTGAGTAGTTCCACTGAAATTAATAGGACTGCTCAAATAAGTGAAGATGTAGTGCGTGATGAAACATGAGCTGGAGTGAGACACATTTATAAGCTCCTTTGTTGCAGGTTTCTAAATCACTTTTCTTGCACTGGAGCAGGAAAATCTCTCCATACTTTAATGTGCTGACAGAGTACCTTCAATAGATGTACTATTTCAAACAATATACTTAAGATTTTTTTGTTACATGATGGAAGAGGCTTTTGAGTGTTATGAACTTTCCAAATATTAAGTTAAGCACAAAACTTCAAGCTCATTCAGTAATGCTTATTGTGAAGATAGTGTACTGCTAAGCAGTATAAACTGCTTAAGAATTTATTTCATAAGTTAAATGTACAGCTAAACTTGATGTTTCAGTATAACATACCATCCAAAATGCCCTGTTTTTGTAGGCTTACAGAATTAATTAGAACTTCTCAGAGTCTTTTCCTCTCTACCTGTGTGACCTCAGTGATTGTAATAAAACTTATTAATTAAATAGCCGGCAGGCTGAATGAGATTCAGAGAATGTGAGTATAATAATTTCAAGAATCAAGGAGAACTTTCTTGCTTATTTTTTGAAGACTTTAGTGTCAGTTTTAGGGGCATGTATTCAGCTGTCTAAAATTAGCAGCACTTTCTGCCCTCACAAATGAAATGTAGCTTCTCAGCTCTCCTGGAATTAGGCTAAGGGCGATAGAGAATGATGAAAGAACAAATTCCTGTCTTACTACCAAGTAGACTTATTATAATCATTGCTGGGCTGTTTACTAAAGACTTGATTTTTTAAAAAAATATTTATTTGTTTATTTTGTTTTTTTTTAGAAGAAGGAGCCTTAAATATGGTGAGGGAAAATTCCAAATCGGGAGACTACAGCCTCATAAGATGAATGTCACTTTAGCTTTGGGGCTTTTCTCCTTTGTTTTTTAATGAAAGCACCTTTTTCTAGAGTGAAATAAGCTTCTCAAATTAAAACCAATATGAAGCTTTGTTTCTTATTCATTCTGGTTATAAAAAGGTGCTACCTATATTGTTTCTGCAGAGATTTTTAGTCTCCCTCAAAAGAGGGAGAATAGAACAAAACTCAAAGCAAGCCGCAGGGTAAGGATTATTGGAGTGACTTCTACCTTTCTAAAGTGCAAAGTGTGGTGGGGGTGTTTTTATTTCAATTTTTAAGATTTGCCAGGATTTCAATATACCATCTATTTCTTTTCTCCCAATTTCCACTGTTTTTGTTTGGTAAGTTGTGTTTTCTTTGTCTTATTATTATTGATTAGAAATCTGCAGTTTGTCAAGCAAGCTTTTCCCAATCATCTTGAATAAACTATTCTTGACTTTAATGGTGCTTCTGATTTAAGGGTACTCCAATAGCCTAAATTACTCTTGCTCTAATTTAACAAATGTAATTTGGTGCTCCTGTGTTTTTTCTCTTAAAATTGGTAAGCTAATTACTTTTCTTTTTTTCCTTCCTTTCCTCCTTCCCTTCTCCTTCCCCCTCCCTGGCTTTTCGTTCCTACTTGGTAGCCAATACCTCTGCTGAAGCAAAAGATGAATCACTCCATCACGATGTCACAGGAACAAATTGCTAGTTTTCTGGCCAATGCTTTTTTCTGCACCTTTCCACGTCGTAATGCGAAGATGAAGTCCGAGTATTCTAGTTATCCAGATATTAACTTCAACAGGTATGGCACTCTGAAGTGAATGGAGCTGATGACATTTGAAAGGAAGTATTACTCACATTTAATGGAGAAGCCTGCTTGTTCTTTCACCTTTTAGATGCTCATTGTTATTAATTCCAATAGATTGCTTTGTGTCTTTTTTTTCTGAGAGACAAGACGACTTTATCACTCAGAAAAGATTTTATGGTCAAAAGATGTACTTAATATTTGAATCCTTTTTCATTTCATCCCACATCTCTATGCCTGTCTTCTTCCATACTCTTACCCTGGCATAAAAAGCTGATGTAGTACCCTACCTCCTCACAGAAGTCATCTAAGAAGGGCTTATTTTGGTTTCAGTTGTGCCTTGATTGTCCTATTTAAACTTGTATTAAATGCCAGTGTGGCCCGACAATTTTTTGGTTTGCTTTAGGTCAGATCGGTAGGACTGGCTTCTTCAGTAACTATACAGTCATTACTAGTTCAAAGCATTTGTGGAATACATGTTTAAGTAAACCTGTCCTTTTTGCCACAAGTTAGCCTAAAAGATTTTAAAACCACAACAAGAGTGTCATTAAGTATATTCTGATATCTGAACCAGCCCTTACTCAGTTTTCCTCAGTGCTAGTTTAAACCCCGGTTTTATTTGGAAAATATTCAAACTTGTTTCACTTATAAATGGAGGAGAAGCTCCTCTGTTGAGTAAAATTGTTCTTACACACTTGTAGATTTAAAATGTTTCTGTTCTTCTGGACTTTTCTATTCAAGTCAGTTTTTCTTATTTTGCCACTGCTACCACGTGTTACCATATATGCCTTGAACGATGGAATGAATTATAAAAACATAGTGCTGCCTGTGAACCAACACACTGGATATTTGTCTTATAAGAGCTATGTTATGCTGGACCTTTCCAGAATTAATTAGTCAGGTATGATGAGGCACTTAATGGTTTTGGCCTTTGATGTCGTTGCGAGCTAGCACAGGGATCTTTACACTCCGTTTTCCGAGAAATAACCACAAAATTATTCTGGGAAAAGGCTTGATGACTTGATGTTGATTTCGGAAGTGCACGGTGGGCATTCATGCTCCATACAATTCAACATATTTTCCACAGTAACTTCATAAAAGCAAATAAAAAAGGTAGAGAGCCATTCATTGCTAAATATTTATGTTCAGCGTAGTTTAAGAAGAGCTACACAGCTAAGCTGTGGTGAGAGTCCTGTTTGCACCATCTATGCACTTACAGTTGAATGTTTTCTTAAAGAATTTATAAGTTACTATTAAGTACTTATAAGTACTATTTTTTTCTCCAATTTAAGCTTGCTGTAAATCAAGCTGCTCAATTATTAAGTAGAGAATAAAACACTGAAAGAGATTTTTAATCATTGGAGTGAGTTTATGTCCTCTGACCACTGCACAGCAATGTAAAGTCAAAGCAACGCAGTGTATTAATAGCAGTTAACTCAGTGTAATGTTTTGAACAACTTCTAAAAAAAATCTTGACAAGTTATAGGGTAAATAGCTGATTTCTATGGCCTCAGACAACAACTAGTGTAAAGTAATAAGTATTCAGGATTTTCTGCCTAACTCTTGTCAGTCTTCCTCTTTTTTTCTTAGCCTGTGGTTTCTTAGCCCATATAGATTGGTTGCTATAAACTGAAGTAAATTCCAGCAGTATTCTTTAAAAGGGATAATACAACGGACAACATTCAGACTCTCCTCTTGCATTATGTATGAGGTAACTCATGACACACAAGGTAGAATACAACCCTTATTTGCTAAAGTGCAAGAGTAGTGTCGCCAAACTGGAGAACAGATGATGGGGAACCTGATGTCCTTTGGTTCCTGAAGATTAAAAGCAACTGATCTTCAGTGTTTGCTAATTTATGGGTGTTCTGTAACAAGTGTAGTCTCATTGATTGATACTACTTTTGTATAATCATTTGTTAGACCAAATACAGTATTTGTTCCTTCTGTTAATTTAATGAGCAAGTTAGTGAACAAGAAGAAATGAAAAATAGAAGTGTGACTCACAGTGAATGAAGTGAATGTGCCGAAAAAGATTGATAGCATAAAAGCAAAAGGAGATTGGCATGAGTGAATGATGGAGAGACTGCTACAAGGTTTTTACACCACTTCTGTCATGTTATTTCATGTAACCTGACTTGGTTTAAATCTAAAATGAGAGGAAAAGGGCAGGAGGATGGACAGCATCCCATTTCTTTCTTCTCTGTCAGGTATGTCGTTTTTCATCTCAAAAATCTAGCTCTTCAGTAGAAAGGAAAGACCATAAAATATCATGTTTCAACCATTATCTCAGATTTGTAAAGAGGACAAAGTTTGGCCCATAGCAGTGTGTATTTTCAGCTTTTACAAAAAGTCTTTCATAAGGCTGGATATGTTCAAAAGACAGTAGGCAATGGCTGTAATTACATTTGTGAGACTTTTTTCATTTATAACAATGTTTTCATTTAAAGGCTTTAGAGGCTATTTTTCTGCTCTGTTTAGAGCTGGACACAAGGGACTGTGGCACACAGCAACCCATTCTCCCCTCGGTGTTATAGTCCTCATTTTCTTCCAGGCTTAGTTCTTTCCTCCATGTAATTTGTCTGCTGCATGGCTGTGGGTGAATTATTTTGTTCCTTTGGGTACGACAAAATCATGCTCCGTCATTCCATAATGAGGCAGGATTACTGAGCGCAAGTGAGCACTGATTACATGAGCACAATTATTTTAAGCAGATATGGTCATCTTAAATTGTGCGTGCCCCTTCTGAGTTCATATCAAAGGCTTGATAAGCTGGAAAATATTTTTTTGTCCTCCTTTTTATCTTAAAAACATAACTGTGTAAACAATTTCTCTTGGGTGTTTTCAATTTTATGCTGCTGCTGTTGATCAAGTCACATTATACAAACTTAAATATTTACATGTTATAAAATATTTTTAATGCAATATTTAAATAGCATATTGTGATTTTTAAGCCCTCTCCTCACTCAATAAAAATCTTTTAGACAAAAAATAGGCGCATAGTACTGGAATTTACGCTTTCCTCTGGTAATAGTTTTGCAGTGCACCAGTGGGGCTTGGCCTCACTAGAGCAGTGCAGATGGCCCGTTGCCCGAATGCTGGTGTGTGTGCCCGTAACTGAATCTGCTCGGAAGGAAGAGCATTTCATGTGTGAGCATCACATAAATCAGCGGGGCTTCCTCTCCTCTCTATGCTGGACTTGCTTGGTGGGTGCAAGGGGAGGGAGTGTTGCCCTTTGGACACCGGACTCTGCTGGCTTAATAGAGTCTTGTGCCACTGAGTGTCCTTTTTGGTGGCTCACTGTGCTGCAGTGACAGCTGCTCATAGAAGAAAGTGCTTGCTAATTTAGTGAAATTCCTCTCTTTTGAACTTGACAGGGATGGGCCTCTTATGGTTATTAAAAGTTATTAATAAAATAATTTATTTAGAATTGGGTTGATATAATGGAGTCTCTAGCTTAACTTTGAGAGCTTGAATGGTTATGAGTTTTAGTTGATTAAAGCATTGTGTCCTTTCAAAACATGAAACTAGGAATTCTGTGCTCAGTTTTTCTTACTAAAATATATATATTTTTAATATTTACCATGGAAAATGGTAGGACAGTGTTGTGCAAAAATATCCTGTCAAAAAAGACAGTGTTAAATTTGCAGTTTTGTTGCTCTTGCTTGAAGACTTCCACAGAAATCACATGCCGATTGAGTGTAGAGCATGAACTGCACTGACTATTTCAAGATCACCCTCTAGAGAGCCTCTCTGTAGGAAGATCTCAGACCACCTAGTGCAGTTGTGATGTTGGATGCTGTTTCAAGTAGTTTGTTTTGGTGTTGCTTCTAATGAACCTTCTTTATGAATGGGCTAATTTAAAGCTTTTCTGAAAAAGGTTTCAAAGTGGTTGTTAGCCCTCCTCTTTTGAAATATGTTAATGTTAAGATTAAACTGTTTTCTTGCATTTACTTTTGAGTGGGTATTGAAAGGGATACAGTGTACTGCATAAGACTTTATTCTGTGAGGTGTTTTTCCTCCCTCCTTTTGGCTGAATTGTCAGACTAGCAGGGTACGATTTAGTAATTTAGAAAACTACCAAGTTGGACATACATAAAAGCAAAGCGTAAGTGAGTAAAATCCCTCTTGCCATCTTGAGTCGCTCTTCTGGCCAACTGAGAAGGTGCCTGGCTTGTCCAAGACCCGTTTTGTTTTTGCCATGCCTTCCCTCTCCATTCTTCACTGCAGAAGAATGTTAGAGAAGGAACTCCTTCCCTGTTTTGCTTTCAAAAACACACTATGCATTTATAGTAGCTATCATCCAAGTTATTTAGGTCATATTAATAATTAAAGGTAGCATGTCTAATAAGGAATATCTGGTAGGTCTTTTGGCACTAAGTGAGGCGCTCTGGTCACAATATAGAGCTGCCACTGCTCCACTAGGACTGAATTTCTTTGATCGTGTCAAGCAAGTGATTGGAAATGAGGAAAAGAAAATACACTAGTTAAGATATATATGTATTTTATGGAATGTGTAATATATGAAAGGAAATGGGCAAACTGTATAGTACGTTTATAGAGGAGAATTGAAATCTAATTTAGCACTAATGCAATTGTCTCTTCATAAACAACATCAATCCTGCCATGCTAATGATTATTCGCCGGGGAATATGTTATCCGGCGCCTCTGAGAGACCTCAGTTTGGACTGAGAGATGCATCATTCCTAGGAAAAGTGATTCTAGGTTTGCTGTGTTTACAAACACTGATCCTAAAAAAACCTGAGCCTGTTCTCCCTGCCTTAGGTTTGTGTTCTATCTAGCCTTTTAAATAGAGCATTAGCTTCTGAAAAATGCACGCTTGTATACAGTAGAGGGTGAAATACTCTATAAATAGCCAATTTTGAAAGGAAATTAACCATAACGTGTCCAGTGTAATTAATTTGCTTTAGTGATTAAAACAGTGCGTTGATGTCTGAATACATTACTCCTTTGGTAAATTACTAAATATGATAATA